GCCCTGCTTAGTTAATTCTGTGGACAGTGTTCTCATGGTGTCCTCAACCTCTGGTTTCTACAATTTTTCCTATCCTGAGTACGAATAAACTGCAAATATTTTAGCTGTCCATGCATAGGGTAGTAATCAGATAAAACTTAATATATCTATGTTAGATATACACATGGTAAGGAAAAACAAAAAAATCTCATTCTCCTTATTACTTTAAAATATATCTTGAGTAGCCCTCCACACTGGTTCGTATGACTATCATTCTTCAATGTAAACTTTGTGTTTGTTCACCAGATGAGATTGAAGGGATGTAGCTAGATGGAGATTATTTTTTCTTCCTTATAGAACTCTTTATTTGAGTTGTAGTGAACATACATCACTTTTTGTAACTAGGACCACCTAATAAAGTCAAAAAGCTTGGTAGCCCATGATGAAGGAGGGCTGACTCAATTTTTGGAAATAAAAATACTTGAGTTGGAATAAATTGTTTGAATATGAAGAGCACTCAAGGTGACTAAACATTGAATGACAAATTTAAAATTCAGCTACAAAGTAATGGGCCTGTTTTGTTTACGTCTTCATTTTCACAAACCAAAGTCAAAGATATTTTTAAGCAAGTGATATCCCAAAGCTTTTAGAGATCAGTGATAGTGTTTGAATAACCAGACTCTTACAGAATTGAAAGAGGTGGTAGTTTAGAGTCGGAAGCTAGAGAGACGGCTTTGAGGTTAAGCGTGTTCACTGCTCTTGCAGAAGACCCATGTCCAAGCCCCAGAACTCTCACAGCAGCCCCCAGTCATCTATCGCTCCAGCTCCAGGAAACCTAATACCCTCATCTGCCTGTTTCAGGCTCTTGCATTCATGTAGTACGCACATATATATGCACACACACGCAAACACACTTTCATGTCCAGCATATATACACACAGTCCATATATATGTATACATGTATATATATGTATGGATATATACATATCGATGTATTGTGTCTAGAGAGGCATTCTCGTTTATATGAACTGAGTGGTTGACAAAGAAATAGCAACAATGTCTCTTGCCACTAGAGAGTTCAAATTCATTCGAACTTGCATTATTTTCTTCATTTTTTTATGTTAACACATCATTTCATTCTCATTGTTACTTATTTTGCTTAGGCAGTCTTGTGACTTCTCACAATTCAAATGCCATTTAAGAATCATATTGACATACTTTCCCCTGTCATGCTGCCCTTGTGAGAAAAGCATTTTAAGTGTTACAAGGAGGTGCTGTTACTATTACAAAGGTTATTATAGGGGGGATAAAAGGACTCCGTCGGGAACAGTAGCCCCATACATGAGACAAACAATGTTACACAGTTCCAGAGGCGTTGTACGGAGAGTGGAGTGTACAGATTAGGGCAGATAATACAGGGAAATATGCGAACCCAAGTTCCCTCTATGGAAATAAACGGAGAAATACAGAGGAATCCGCAGCGCGATGTTCTGAGGGCACGACAGGGTGCAAACGTATCCTGTGACTGGTTATCTACAGAGCCCTGGGACTCGGTCCAGCCACTTTGATCCTCTAAAGAAGCAAGAAGGCTTCATCGTGTAAAGCTAATTTGGTGGAGTTCACAGGGAGTGCAGAGCTGGGCCTTGAAGGAGACTGCCTGGGTGACCTCACTGCAGGGCACTCCAAGGCTTGGGTGCCTGCCACTCTCCTAAACAGAGACCTTTGATACTGCCTTTTTTAGTGTTTTTTCCCTCCTGAGGTATGGGGCCTGCTAGCTGGAGAATGAATTTATGGCAAATACGGAACATGGGAACACTATGCTCTTCAGATCTTTCAGGGGGTCTCAATGCGGCTTCTGAGTTCAGCACGTAAGCAGTAGGCCTTCTTCGAAACAGTGGCCCTCTGTGCCTCCCAGCAGATGGGAGTGTGCTGGGAAATCTTTGTGGCATTCCAGAGGAATCACTGTGACTTTGATGCGTCACTAAGCCAAGGCCAGGAGCTATGGAACGTATTACCTTACCAGAAGAAGCCTGCCGTGCACGGCTTTGACATTTTGTAAAAGTGGTCTTCACCCTGAGAGTCTTGGAGTGTGCCTTACATGGTAATAAATTACATTACCAACACCCGTTATGACCTCAGTGAGAGATGAGTGTAGCCAAGAGCAGCTACACGTTACTGTCAGTTAATTAGTGTTGGTGTTCATTAGAAGTGGGAGTGAGAGCCCGGAAATGGTCCATTACTCATTATGAGTGGAAACGTGGGACAGCAGAAAAGCTGTCCAAATAACCACTGAGAACTGAACCAGGAAGAAGAATGGGGACCAATGAATAGGACTTAGCTGGAGTGCTTTGTTTTGGATACACACACTCACGGGAGAACCCTCAAACCCTCTTGTCCTAGGCCCACACTTGTAAGTTCACACACATTTTCAGTACTTTCATGATTCATGTGATGGATTGAATTGGGCCCCCCTCTCAAGAAAAAGATGTTGACGTTTGAGTCCTCAGATCCTGTGAATGCAGGATTATGTTTGGAAATAGGATCCTTGCAGACGTAATGAGTTAGATGAGGTCATAATTGATTAGGGTAGACTCTGATCAGTGTGACTGATCTCCTTTTAACAAAATGGTGACAAAAGGAGGAAAATGTCACACCACGAAAGAGTTACATAGATACTGAGGGAAGCTAGACATGTGACTACAGGAAGCGGGTGGAGTTACTCGACTGCACGCCACAGAATGAACCTCTCCTTGAGAGCTTTGGCGGGAACATAGACCTGCTAATATTGTGATTCTGGATTCCTATTCTCCCACACTATGATACTTCGAATTTCTGATATTTTAACCGACTCAGTTTCTAGTGTTTTATTTAGTAGCCCAAGGAAGTGAACAGACCTCACTTTTGTTAAGTGGACACTTCACCTGGTTGTCTGTCAAATATGCCTTTCCTTTTACACAGTCAGATTTATGCCTTGCTTCAAATAATTCAAAGATAAACACAGGAGCTCAATCGTTTCCACTTCAAGCAATTAATGTCTGTCATTGCGACTGGGACAAAATAAAAGATGAAGAAGCTTGAGATGAGTGACCATTGTTTTGTGCACTGTTTTGGAGGCAGAGGAAATGAACTCGTGTGTGTGTGTGTTTTATTCTTTGACTTACAAAACAACTGTAATAGAATTATAACAAAGGTCTTTATTTTGAATATATTTACCTTAGGTAAAGAAACCACAGTCCATGTACACAGTGGAATACTATTCAGCCCTATGAAAGAACAAACTTGAGCTGAGGAGATGACTCAGTCAGTTAATTGCCTTCTGGACAAGAATGAGACATAAGTTTTGTTACCTGGCACCCACATGAAAATCCAGATATAGTGACTCATCTATAACCTGGCATTGGGGTAGGAAAGGAAACAGGAGGAAAGGTGAGACAGGCAAAGTCCTAGGGCTTGCTGATCAACCAGTCTTACCAATTGGTGAGCTCCGGGTTCAGTTAGAGACCCCTGTCTCAGAAAATACAGTGGACAGTAATAGAGGAAGACATCCTAACATCAACCTCTGACTGCCACATGTGTACATGTGACATGTATGCACACACACACACACACACACACACACACACACACACACATGCGCACACACACATACCCATTACGTACCGGGACACACAAAGAATAAAGTTCTGTCAGCTATGACAAGGTGGATGCTCAGGAGAGCAGTTGTTATGCCAACTGAAATAAGCCAGCCACAGAAAGATAGGTGCAGCACGGTTTCATATCAAGTCCAAACAAGCCGCTCTTACTGTTTAAAAGAACGGTGATATCTGAGGCTGGTGAGAGCAGAGAGGGACGGATGGAGAAAGGTTGATTAGAGGGTACCTAAGTTACAGGTAGATGGCAGGAGGGTCTGGTAAGCTACTGCATGGTGGGAAGGCTATGGAGGATGACAAAGTATATTAACAACAATCTAGAGGAGTTTTAAATCTTTCCCCACTAAGAGGTTGTGATTAAAGAGACAGCTTTATTTATTCTTGTTTAAATAGTACATGTATTGAAATACCACATGGATTTCCATAACTATGCACAACTTTTATGTATCAGCTAAAATAAAAACAAATAAGTAAAGCCCAAATAACATGCTTGTTTCATTACTTATGTAATGTTGGTATTCCAGTGCTGTGAGATATTTTGATTGTGTTCTGACAAATAAAGCTTGCTTGGAGTCAGATGTCCTACTCAGCAGCATCCTGATGTTTCTGTCGTTTCTTAATTTTGGAAATTGTTTGCTCTGTACTTCCTGTTTACTCATGTAATATTATATCTTTCTCAGTTCTCTGATAAAGTTATAGTTTTCTATCATTTTCTATAGTTTTCTGAGATGGTTATAGTTTTCCTTGTTAATGAATTCAGAAATTAAACTCATAAAAGAGGTGCAAAGTATATAAAAAGGTAGTTTGGGGTTGGTAGTGCAAGTTAAGATAGAAAGTGAATTAGGTACAACACTTTAGACTCACCAAGCTAGGATAGATAGCATGGTGTATTTTATCTGAATTTGTCAAATGAAAATGGACTGGACGCTGTTAATGTAATTTTTTTTGGCTTTTTAATTAAGAGGTTCTCTGTGTAGCTTTGGAGCTTGTCCTGGAACTTGCTCTTTAGATCAGGATGGCCTTGAACTCACAGAGATTCTCTTGCCTCTGCCTCCCACGTGCTGGGATTAAAGGCGTGTGCCACCACCTTTGGGCTGTTAATGTAATTTTTGCCTGTATATATTTGTGTATAGTTATTGTACTTTTTCTATATAGTTTTACTCTGTTAGTTAAAACCTTCACTTTTTATTTAGACAAAATGGAGAAATATTATGAGATATTTTGATTGTGTCCTAATGTGTAAAGCTTGCTTGGAGTCAGAGGGCAGAGCCAGCCACTAGCTGACCATAGAGATTTGGAGGACTGGAGAGAGAGAACAGGAAGTGATAAGGTGGGGTTGAGACAGGATCTCAGGCATTTTAGATGGAGGAATGGAAGAGTCAGGAAGCAACTGGCAACTGTTCTGCTTCTCTGATTTTTCAGGTTTTTACCCCTATTTCTGACTCCTGGCTTTTTATTGATAAGATTAATTAGATTTACACTTCACTCCAATAAAGCTTCCTGCAAAGAAGGGCTCATGGACAGTGTTTAATTTTTCAATTTTTATCCTGTTCAAAATTTTGGTAGACAATAAATAGTAGCAAATGTTTATGCCAAACTTAAGATATATACTTTGCTGTCATTCACTGTTCTCTTTAACTGACAATGGCATAAATCAAAATATTTTTAAGTAAACATATGTTTGGCATCATTAAAATAATCTATAGTTTCTGCCACATATATTTGCTGTTTATAATGCTCATAATAGCTTATGCCTATGGGTTTTGACTTTAAGGCATGTAGACATAATATGACATGTCCTGTTACCAATTGTTCATAGGGTATAATCAGAGTTCCCAAGGTTATAACTCCTGTCAACGATATTTTTTTTGAGATTCTACTAAGGAAACCTATTGTCTATTTCCATATCTGTACTTGGATTTCTTAAAAGCATTCAGACTTAACAACCTTTAGATAATTTGTATATTTGTATTGTGGCATATGTATAGGTTTGTGTGGGTATGCTTGTATAACATGCAGATATACATGCAATGTTTGAATCTGCGTATGGAGACTAGATATTTGTTTTGACTGTCTTCAATTGCTCTTATTGTTTTCATTTTTAAAAAAATTTTCTGTCATCTATCTATCTATCTATCTATCTATCTATCTATCTATCTATCCATCATCCATTTAGTGTGTGTATGTGTGTGTGTGGGGGGGTGGGTGAAAGTGTGTGTACATGTGTGTTTGTGGTATGTACTCATGTTTATGTGGATGCCTACACAAGGAAGCCAGAGGAAGATTCTGGGTGGAATGTCTTTCCTTATTGGTGTCACCTTATTATTTTTTTGAGACAATTTCTTTTTGTTTCTGAACTGGAAGTTCATTGATTTGGCTATCCAGAGAGCTCCTGGGATATGCCTGTCTCTACCTCCCAAGACTGGGGTTACAGGGACATGGTTCTGTGTTCAGCTTTTTATGTGTCTGCTGGCAATTTCAGTGAAGGCCCTCTTATTTTAATAATAACTTATATTACCCACTGAGCCATCTCCCCAGCACCCTCCACTTTATTGTTTTGAAATAGAGTCGCTTGCTGAACCTGGAGCTCATTAATTTGACTAGGTTGGCCTGACAAGAAGCTCCTGGGATCCCCCTGTATCTGTCTCCCCAGAGTGGGGATTAGAGACTTGCACCAATGTGAATATTTACACGGGTGTTGGGTTATCCAGAACTCAGATCCTAATGCTTGTGCAGCAGGTACTTTACATTTTTCAGCCCTGGTAACATTCTTTTTTCTAGTTTCTTTTCAGTTTCTCTTCCTTTGTGAATGATGCTAACATCAATCCAATTACATATGTGTCACACTGCCCTATTTCCAGCTTCTCTCTGCTTATGCATGGATGAATTGTGATCAGTCAGCTTCTTGATCCAGCTGCCATGCCTTCTTTGTTACTACAGACTCTCTTCTTCTAGAACTGTAAGTCAAAATGAACTCTTTCTTTCTTAAGTTACTCTTGTTCAGGGTGTTTTCTTACAACAACAGAAAAATGACTAATATGATTTTCCAGTAAAACATCTGCTTAAGAATTAATATCAGCTAGGCAGTGGTGGCTCCACCTTTAATCCTAGCACTTGGGAGGCAGAGATAGGCAGATCTCTATGAGTTCGAGGCCAGCCTGGTCTACAAGAGATAGTCTTAGAACAGGCTCTAAAGCTATAGAGAAACCCTGTTTTGAAAAACCAAAAAAAAAGAAAGAAAAAGAAAAATAATATCTCTTCTTCCACCTCTTCCATATTTCATCATTTCATTCTTGCTGAACAAAACACCACTATTTCAAAAAGTATTCGTTGACAACATCAAACATTTATATAATGAAGATTTGTCCTTTTTACCCTATATTATCCTACCTCATTTCCTATTCTCCTGCTGAAACCCATCTTTTTCCCCATAATGTCCCTTCCTACTTTCAAAGCTTTTTGGTTCATATGCCCTATCAGATATAAATAGGGTTGCCTACATGAACCTGGGTGGGTGGTTATTTATTGGAACTGCTCACTTATCAGCGGCTACACCATTAAAGAAGTGATACTTCTTCCCTTAGCCAAAATGAACAGTCAGTAATCCCTCAGGGAAGGGTGGGCCTCATGATCTCTTCCCCTTTCCATGATGGAATATTGGAGGGCTCAATTGTGTGTAGGTTTACTGCAGGTAACCACAACTGCAGTGACTTCATGGGTACAATGGCTAGGTCACACTGAAAAGATACTTACCCACCCCACCCCCTTTGGTTCTCCTCCCCAGCCTCTGGTCCTTAGAATCTTCTCACTTCCTTTTCAGTGATGTCCCCTGAGTTTCAGAGGGAAGGATTTGTAGACGACCAATTTAAGGTTGCGCATTTTCCTCCTATGACCAGTTGTGACTTTCTGCACTAATGGGCATCCATATCACAAAGAAGCTTCTCCAAAGAGGAGGGAGAGATGTATCAATCTGTGTGTATAAAGATAAATATTTAAAAAGCTATTTGATATCATGTTCATCAAGCAAAATAATATTAGTATGCTCACCCTTAGTGTCTATAATCTACCCAACCATGTATTTTTCGTCATGTTTATAGTACCAAATGTAAGTTCCCTCTAGTGGATCCAGCCTTAAATCTAATCAGAAAGTTATTGGTTTTCCCCATAACACTCGTGCCACTAATGCACATTGCCAGGGTAGTCATTACTGTATCTTGTTAACTTTTTTTCCCCAGCAGCCTACATAGCATCTTCCAGTACTGTGAAAATTAGCCAGCAGAAGGAATTTTCCAGGTGATGTCCTGCTTGATTTTTTCATATTCTGTGGCCAAAGAATGTAGTGTTCTTAGCAATAGGATCTTATTACCAAGTTCTGGTATGCAACCGCGAGCAGTGTCAATACTCTGTGTTGTTTGGGGCTTGTCTTTGGGGTCCTCATGACAAATAACTCAAAGGCCAGTGCTGACACCTGACACTGAAATTTTTATTCAATAACTTATGGTTTCTGGAAGGTGCATTACCTTCCCCCATATTACCGCCCCCATATATGGTACCTTAATCCAACTCTTCTTAAAGGATATATTTAGTAACCTTAACAGTAGATTTCCATAGACCTTTTCAACCATCCTTAGTGCTAAACAGCCCTATTTATTTTATCTTCTAAATATCTCTAGAGTTTGTACAGATTTCTCCTTCTCCTCCACCATTAGTTTAATGCAAGCTGTTAGGATCTTCCCTCTAGATTACTGCAACAGCTCCCCAATGGCGAAAATGTTGCCATATTCACTTGCCCTATCATCTTCTGCACATTGCAGTGTAGATGTTGTTTTTGAAAATGAATCTCATCTTGTTTCTTGTCTTGATACCTGTTTGCTTACATGTACATGCCCTTGAAAAAAAAGTCCTGTAATCCTTAATTTAGTCCAAATGCCCTGAAAGGTTTCAACTTTTCTCTTAGTTCCCTCCTCGCTCCCTTCCTCCTCTTCCTTTTTATCTCTTCCCCTTTCTCTCCCTCCTTTCCTCCTCTCTTGAACTCCCAAAATGTCAAACTTGAACATTTTTCTGTAAGTTGCATCTTCCTCCCTCCCTTCTTCCTTTCTTTGTTTATTTCTCCTTCTCTTTCTTTTATTCTTTCTCTTCCTCCTTCTCCACTTTCTCCTTACATCTCTTTCTCCTTCCTTTCCCCTAGATTTTTTACTTAACTTCGATTCATTACTCATGTTTTTACTCCAACAACAACTAAAATATAATTCATTATTTCTCCCTTCCTTCCCTTCCCTTCAATTTCTCTGATATCCTCTCCCTCGAACTCCTTCCATTGCCTTCCCACTCTCTTCTAAATCAATGGCCTCTTTTCCTCTTATTATTATTTTTTTTACACACAGACAGAGTGACAGACACACACACTACTTGCTAAGTCTCTTTAGTGTTGCTTGTATATATATAGCTTCAGAGCTGACCATGTGGTATTACATAAAGAATTAGTCTTTCCCAGGATGAGCCCCCTAACTGATTATGCAACACTTGTTTAAGAAAGTTTTTCCTGATATGCAAGAATAGATAGGGCTCCTTGGTTGCTTGATTCCCTACTCCATTTTGTAACTTCTTCACATCACTGCATGTCAGGAGCCTTTAGGCCATGCCATTGGACCTGAATACAAGGCCTCTGTTCATGCCTTCTGAGGTGAGAGATAATGTCTTTGGAGAGGAGAGATAATAAAGAAGTAAACAAACAAGAAATCATCAGGCATCAAAAAGTCCAATGGTGCAAAAACCAAAAGACCTCTTTAGTCTTTGTGGGAGGCAGCAACAAAGCTCAGACCTGAGAATCAACAAGTGGTCAAGGGAAAAAATGCAATGCATAGGTCCTTATTTAGAGACTCTAGTTGGGAAGGGTGGACTCCAGGAACCATAAAGATGGGTATAGTGTATGAGTAGAGGGCACTAGAGTATGAGGAAGATACAGTGAAGGCAGCTCATGATGAGGTGTTTAGATTTTACTATTGAACGCAGTGGGCATGTCCCAGAGGAGTTTCATTGTAAAGATGATGGACTTAAATGATTTACATTTTCACAAGTTCAAATGTAAGCATCTAATATAGCATTTAAGTGGGGGCTACTCTGGTATTCTGGATGAAAGAGAAGGTGGTTTGAAGTTACCGAGTATACCCAGGAATGAAGAGAGAGAGACACAACGGAAGATATGGGGGAGAGTAAAACGAAGAGATTGCTAGAAGATTCACCCTGGAATCAAAAGCAAAATAAGGAGTAACTTTACAACTGAGCAGCCAAGTTACTGGTGGCAACAGCCATTGAGATGGAGAACCGAGAGACAGCAGGTGTCAGATGAGGAAGGAGCATCCTGCTTCAGGTACGGGAAGTGTGTAAGGAGTATATCAGCTAGCCAAGTAGCTGTGTTAGGTGAACTGTGACTTCTACAAAACCGGCTTGTGTGACGGGTGGTGTCTGAAGTCCCCGGTCAGCAAAACACATAGATACCAATGCAGCCATCAGTCTTGCTAGAATGTGATTGGGGACCAAGACTGAGGTCTTCGACACCTTGCCGTTTGGAAGACAGCCAAGTGAGAGAGACATTAAGACAGACAAAAATGGAAACAATTCCACTGACTGCTGCTGTCCATATTCTTCTGCTGGGGTTGCAGCTTCACCAAAGAAATCTAAATGATGCTTTATGTACTTGGCAGAGTGTGCAGCCTGCTCCAAATATGAAAATGGTTTAATGCTCTCATATTTCTCTTTGAATAACAAATTCCATGTCTTTAGTAAATGGAGGTATCTGACTTGGGTTTTCCTTAGTGCCCCACCCAACGGAACTCTTATCTCCTAACCTCTTTCTGTTTGTTTGTTTGCTTTAGATTTCAAATACTGACCAGACGATAAAAGGAATTTAATAAAAATCTCTGTAACAATTATAACTCTGTGGAGTCAAACACAGCCCTAACCACATGTAGGCACACTGAATATTGAAATTGAAATCAAGAGACAGGAACCTAGTTACCGTGGGTAATTTCACAGTTTTCCATTAAATGCCCAGCAACTATTTAGTCTAAAAAGTCAAGAAGGTTGCAAAAGAAATGAAGTTTGATAGTACGGGACCAAGGGGGAGACAGTTAAAGATGGATATAAATGAATTGCCTTATCAAGGGATTGTGAACCATAGGGTATATGTTTTCATAAACCTGAGGAGGTTCTTGAAGGTCAAGATCTGTCATGCTCCCTTGGAATGGCGGAGGCTTGTACGAAAACATTCATCAAAACACAGACTGCATTCCATTTCCACAGCCCCGGATCAGGATGGCTCAGAAAGGCCCTGCCGAGCCGTTAGACATCTAACGCAAAGCGAGCAAGGCATTCTGCTTTGCTCTGAGACCCCTTGGGAGGAATTTTTGCCAAGAGCCGTTCTCAGACCCGCTGCCTGTCAGGAATGAACTATGCCACCGGTTTCAGTTAGGACTTCCGTTGTCAAAACAATAATAGCTGTAATTTTCTCTCCCTCTGTTTACAGGAAACAAACCCTTCCTTCCTGTCCTCTGCCTGTAGCAGAAAATAGACAAACCAAGCAGATGTCCAGGGATGGCAGAGCAGTACCTGGGGCTGCAGCCTCCCTGGGGAGGAGACAAGCTGCTGGGGGTCTGTGAGGACGGTGGGCTCGAGGATGGGCGTGGGGGAGGATGTCAGAGACATCCTCCATTGTCTGTTTGAGTGTCTCTCCTACAGCTGTCAGGCGGGGAACTAAATATGGCCAGGGAAATCTCAAAACAGCGAAAGAGTATTTTTAAACTCTCGCAGCCGCCTTTGCAGACTCGGTGACGTAGATAAACCGGTTGCAGAATTTCTCATGGGAATCGAGGGCGCTGCGACATGGCTGCTGGCTTTGGTTGCATGTGCTTTTGGCCCCGTTAATGTGTCCCTTGGGGTTTTGTTTCACATCTTAAAGAC